ACGAAGTTTCCCTCGAAGTCTACCGATGGAACAGATGCACCGTTTCCAGATGAACAGCTTCTGCCAGACGAAGTTGACGCTGACTGAGCCTACCGATGGAACAGATGCACCGAGAGATGCACTGGAGGGCGGCCTACCTAGGGGTGCGCTCCGAGTTTCTGAATCAGCGTCTGGAGGGCGTCACCCCCGCCGACAGCCCCACATCGACCCCCGTCGCGGGCATCCACCGCGCGCCGAAGGCTCTCCGACTCCCGTCGCGGCACAACGACGAGGCGAAGTTCAACATCGACCCCCGTCGCGGGCAGCCACCGCGCGCCGAAGGCGCTCCGACCTCCGTCGCGGCGCGACGACGAGGCGAGGTTGACCCCCGTCGGGGGGGGGTGCCCCCCCCCACGCTTGCGCATCCCCCGTTTACCGCCATGAAGCGGTGCTTCAGTGCTTGGGGGCAGCGCAACCCACCACCACCTCCAGCCAAGACCCCTTCTCCCGGCTTGGTGATCCAGGGGGTCCCGGCTGGGGGTGGGAGTGGGGGTGGCTTTCTGGCCCCCAGAGCTCCCCCCCAAACTCCCCCCCACCCCTCGCCAGGACCCCCTGACTCACCAGGTCGGGAGGGGGTTCGTTGCCTGGGGTGGGGTATGATTGTGCTGTCTTCAGCGCTACTGTTAGGTCCGGCATGTCCCCCTACAGGCGGATTTTGGAAGACACGTGAAAGAGTTAAAACAAATCATGATAATTACCCAGCGAGGTACCCAGCCCATTTGCATCGAGAGACAAGAGGACTTAGCCCAAACTTGCCAGCACAATGAAAGTGCAGGCGCCGTTACATGTTGTGCGAGCTGCATGGGGTGCGTTCGCGTGGCACGATTCAGAGGACAACGACAGAAGGACGAGGGAAGAGGGCCAAGGTTTGAGGAGGACATGGGGGCGGGAACGAAGGGCAGGATAAGGGCGCGCGGGGGGCCGAACTGTCAGCGCGGCAGCAGCAGAGGGAAGGTGGCAGGGGGCAGAGGACGACGACGAAAGTGGCGGGAGGAGACCGAATAATGTTGCTTCGGTCGGTAGCACGGAACATAAAACAACATTGCCTGCGCCTTGACGCTGCGGCGCTCGACCAACATATGAATCAGTTCGCTGATAGTTACTGCAAGAAGCGAGCGAGGCCTAGCTCGCCCGCCAGATTCCCTATTTCCTTCCTGCATAACTCAGCGCGGGAGCTAAAACATTCGAAGGAACGTCGCCAGGTCTGCGGGTGGCCCGCGACAGCGCCCCGCTGGACCCCCAGCAGCCCTCGAACTTGGCGACGGTTTCGCAGATCGCAGCCCCCCAGGGATGGCGAGGTGTAATCTGAGTGCGGGTGGTTCCCCACTCCGCTGCCCCCCCCCCCCCGGCAGCTCTCGAAAGCGGCCACATTTTCGCAGATCGCGGCCCCCCAGGGATGGCACGGCCTCTGGGTCTGGGTGGTTCCCCACCCCGCTGCCCACCCCAGCAGCCCTCGAAAGTGGCGACAGTTTCGCAGATCGCAGCTCCCCACGGATGGCGAGGATGTGAGTCTGGGTGGTCCCCCGCTCCGCTGGCCCCCCCGGCAGCCGTCGAAACTGAATACAGTTTCTCAGATCGCAGCCCCCCAGTGATGGCGAGGTCGAATATGAGTCTGGATGGTTTCCTATTCCGCTCGCCCCCCCAAGCAGCCTTCGAAAGCGGCGAACATTTCGGATGGCGAGGTCTAGTCTGAGTCTGGGTGGTCCCGCACTCCGCGGGCCCCTCCCAGCAACCCTCGAAACTAGCGACACTTTCGCAGATCGCAGCCACCTAGGGGTGGCGAGGCCAAGTGTGAGTGTGGGTGGTTCCCCGCTCAGCTGGCCCCCCCAGCAGCCCTCGAAAGTGGCGACGGCTTCGTAGATCGCAGCCCCCAGAGAGGGCGAGGTCTAATATGAGTCCGGGTGGTTCCCCACCCCGCTGGCCCCCCCAGTGGCCCTCGAAAGTGGCTACAGCTTCGCAGGTCGCAACCCCCGAGGGATGGCGAGGCCTAGTGTGAGGATGGGTGGTTCCCCATTCCGCTGGCCCCCCCAGCAGCCCTCGAAATTGGCGACGGTTTCGCAGATCGCACCCCCCCAGGGATGGCGAGGTCTCATCTGAGTGTGGGTGGTTCCCCACTCCGCTGCCCCCCCTGGCAGCCCTCGAAAGCGGTTACATTTTGGCAGATCGCAGCCCCCCCCAGGGATGGCCAGGTAGGAGGCAAGCCGGCACGCAAGAAGGAGCGAGGTGGAAGTCAAGAGATATGGAGACAGGCAGGCGGGAGGAGGAGAAGGTGTACGACCGCAGTGTTTTATTCAAAACGAGAACCCAACGCAGGAGGGTAGGAAATAATCAAACATATTAGAAAACAGTGCTTGCATGGATTTTGTTTTATGTATAAAACCAAACATCTGTTTATTTTTGAACATTCTTCCTGTAGAGGGACAGGCCCGACTTAACGCTGTTGGCGCCCGCCTCCCCTCAGGCGGTGGCCGAGGCGCTGTCGCGCTCCTTCCAGCGCGTGGACGACCAGCTGCGCCTCGTGGGCGCGTGGCGGTGCGGCTGCACGGCCACCGTGGCGCGCCCGCCAGCCCGCGCCGCCTTTCGGGGGCAACGCCGCGGGGGGATGGGTTCGGGGGGAAGATCGCATCGACACCCAATCGCCCATTCGAAGGGCGAGGCGGCGTTCGATGTGGGTTTTCTGACGCTTTCGTGGGTTATCGGCGGGTTTCCGGCCTCGGGGTGCGTTCCAGCAGCTGCGCTTCGCCCAGAAACGTTTGGGGGGGCCCAGATCTGCCCGGAACGGCCGCCGGAGGCCCGAACTATAGCTCGGAAGCCAGGGAGCAGAAGGTCAGGGGCAACGTCAGGGGGGGGACGGGCCCGGGGGGGGAAACATCGACCCCGAATCGCCCATGGATCGCCGATAGGGGCCCGATAGCCCAGCCCGCCCCGGAGCTTGCGGCTCCACCATGAAGGGCCTATCCACGATCTGTCGGCGATGTATCGCCGATGCCAGGACGTTGTCCTCCCCCCTCTCAGCCAGTCCCCCCTGACGTGCCCCCTCAAGAGGGGTTCCGCGCTTTTGCCACCAGACAGGAGGCGGCTCGGTGGAGACGGGTGGCCCTCCTCCCTCCTCCTGCCTCCTGCCACCTCCCTCCTCCTCCCTCCTCCCTCCTCGCCCTCGTCCTCCGCATCCTCTCCTCGCCGTTGTCCTCCTCGTCCCCCCCACGCCGTCGTCGTGGTCGTCCTCCTGGCCTCCTGCCGTCGTCCTCTTCGCTGTCGCCGCCGCCGCATCCGCCGCAGTCTGTCGTCGATCCATCGGCGTCGCATCGCCTGTTCCAGCTCGGCGTTTCCCCCCCCCCCCCCCCCACCCCACCCCCTCCGCCCCTCCGCTCCCCCTCCCCGAGCTGGTCCGCCCTCCTGACGTTTCCCCTCGCCATCCCGTGCAGTCGGCCGCGTCGGTAGGTCGTGGGTAGGGAGGAGGAGGTAGAGGAGGAGGAGGAGGAGGAGGAGGAGGAGGAGGGAGGAGGAGGAGGAGGAGGAGGAGGATGAGGAAGGAGGAGGAGGAGGAGGAGGAGGAGAGGAGGAGGAGGGGAGGAGGAGGAGGAGGGGAGGAGGGAGGAGGAGGAGGAGGAGGCGGAGGAGGAGTAGAGGAGGAGGAGGAGAGGAGGAGGAGGCGGAGGGAGGCGGGGGGAGGGTGGAGAGGGGAGGGGGGGAGGGGGATGAGTGGGGGGAGGATGACAGCAGTGCGAAGATGGCATCAGGAATGCAAGCCCTCTGCCAACACCCCCACAGCATGTAGCAAGGGGGGGCTGTCTAAACTCGTGGACGGCCGCCTTCCCCTAGGTCTGAAGGACTGTCCAGACGTGCCCGGCAAGGGGGTGGGAGCAAATTAAATCTGTAGTTCTTCGCGTTTGCTGTCTCCCCGTGTCATGTTCGGATTTCGGGACTGGAGTGTGCGCAGGAGGAGGAAGCGGAAAAGGAAACGGCCGCTGTCGCCGCCGCCAGGCGCTGGTGAACCGCACCGCTAGCGGGCCGCGCGTCCATGTCGCCAACGTGGGAGACTCGCGGTGCGTGGCGCGCCCCCCCCGCCCCGCCCGAGCCGGTGCGGCGCTGGCGCCCGTGCCCGCCTTCAAGCGCCCGCTGACCTCCTGGGCCGTGGCCGTCGGCGTCGGTGTCGGCGTTTGCGTCGGCGTCGTCGTCGTCGTCGTCGGCGGCGTCGGCGTCGGCGTCGTCGACCGCGTCGTCGGCGTCTGCATGGTCGTCGTCGTCGTCGTCGTCGTCGGCGGCGGCGGCGGCGGCGACGTCCGTGTCGGCGTTTGCGTCGGCGTCGGCGCTGGCGTCGGTGTCGGCGTCGGCGTCGGCGTCGGCGTCGTCGTGGGCGTGGGCGTGGGCGTGGGCGCGGGCGTGGGCGTCGGCGTCGGCGTCGTCATTGTCGGCGTTGTCGTCTGCGTCGGCTGGCGTCGGCGGCGTCGGCGTCGGCGTGGGCGTGGGCGTGGGCGTTGGCGTGGGCGTGGGCGTGGGCGTCGTCGTCGTCGTCGTCGTCGTCAAAGCGTCAGCGTCGTCGGCGTTGTGTTCTGCGTCGGCTGGTGTCGTCGTCGGCGTCGGCGTCGGCGTCGGCGTCGGTGTCGTCGTGGGCGTGGGCGTGGTCGTGGGCGTGGGCGTGGGCGTGGGCGTCGTCGTCGTCAGCGTTGTCGTTTGCGTCGGCTGGTGTCGTCGTCGGGGTCGGCGTCGGCGTCAGCGCCGGCGGTGGCGTCGGTGTCGTCGTCGGCGTCGGCGTCGGCGTCGGCGTTGTCGTCAGCGGTGGCGTCGGCATCGGCGTCGGCGTCGGCGTCGTCGTCGTCGTTGTCGTCGTCGTCGTCGTTGTCGTTGTCGTTGTCGGAGTCGGAGTCGGAGTCGGAGTCGGAGTCGGCGTAGTCGTCGGCGTCGGCGTCGTCGTGGCGTTTGCGTCGGCGTCGGCGCTGGCGTCGGTGTCGGCGTCGGCGTCGGCGTCTGCGTCGTCGTCGGCGTCGGCGTCTGCGTCGGCGTCGTCGGTAACGTGGGCGTGGGCGTCGTCGTCGGCGTCGGCGTCGGCGTCGGCGACGGCGTCGTCATCGTCGTCGTCGTCGTCGGCGTCGGCGTCGGCATCGTCGGCGTAGGCGTCGGCGTCGGCGTGGGCGTCCGCGTCGGTGTCGGCGTCGCGCAACGTCGTCGTCGGCGTCGGCGTCGGCGTCTTCGTCGTCGTCGTCGTCGTCGTCGGTGGTGGCGGCGTTGTCGTCGGCGTCGTCGGCGTCGTCGTGGGCGTCGGCGTCGTCGTCGGCGTCTGCGTTGGCTTCGGCGTCGGCGTTGGCGTTGTCGGCGTCGGCGTCGGCGTCGGCGTCGGCGTCGGTCGTCGTCGTCGACGACGACGGCGTCGTCGGCGTCTGCATCGGCGTCGGCGTCTGCGTCGGCGTCGGTGTCGGCGTCGGCGTCGACGGCGTCCGTGACGACGTCGGTGTCGGCGTCGTCGGCGCAGCGTCGTCGTCGTCGTCGTCGTCGTCGTTGTCGTCGTTGTCGTCGTGGCGTCGGCGGCGGCGGCGGCGGCGGCGGCGGCGTCGTCGTCGTCGCTGTCGGCGTCATCGTCGGCGTCATCGTCGTCGTCGTCGGCGTCGTCGTCCTCGTCGGCGTCGGCGTCGGCGTCGGCGTCGGCGTCGGCATCGTCGTCGTCGGCGTCGGCGTCGGCGTCGTCGTCGGCGTCGTGTCGGCGTCGGCGTCGGCGGCGTCGGTGTCGTCGGCGTCGTCGGCGGCGTCGGCTTCGGCGTCGGCGTCGTCGTCGTCGGCGCAGCGCCGTCGTCGTCGTCGTCGTCGTCGTCGTCGTCGTCGTCGTCGTCGTCGTCGTCGTCGTCGTCGGCGTCGTCGTCGTCTGCGTCTGCGTCTGCGTCGTCGTCGTCGGCGGCGGCGTCGTCGTCGTCGTCGTCGGCGTCGGCATTGTCGTGGGCGGCGGCGTCGGCGTCGGCGTCGGCCTCGGCGTTGGCGTTGGCGTCGGCGTCGGCGTCGGCGTCGTCGTCGGCGTCGGCGTCGGCGTCGGCGTCGGCGTCGGCTGTCGTCGGCTCTGGCGTCATCCCTTGGGGGCGTGTGGCGGGCGCGGTGCAGCGCGCAGAGACCAGCATGCTGCCAAGACGCTGAAGTGCGGACAATTTCCAGCGCCGTCCCTCGGGTTTATGTCGGGGAGCCTGTGCGAAGCCGAGGTTCTTCGTGGCCAGAAAGCGCCCTCTCGCTCTTTGTTCATTGCTTCTCGTGGCAGCACGATGACTGTAGTCAGGAGGGGGAACACACAGACATAGTTCATCGTCCACTCCCAGGAAAATATAAAAAATGTGGGAAGTGGGGGAAAAACGAAAACCCTGAAAATATAGGAAGATATATGGAATCCTGAGATTTGTGTCTATTTTTTTGTGTGTCCCTGGGCCCCTTTCTGTAGGCCCTCCGGGGGCGTTGCAGAACATGACGTTCTCCTGGGCCTCTCGGGGGTGCGGGGACAGCAGCAGGGGGGCTCAATCAATGTGTACATGCAGGTCTACTTGGACGTGGTTGCGCGCCCCTCGCCCCAATCCGAGCACCCGTTCGCGCCTTCGGCGCCGATCGCGTTACTTTCCAAACCCGCAGCTTTCTTTCATTCGGGCACGGTCCCTCTGCCCGCTCAGCGCTACATCCCCAGACAGGTAAAGCGTGAGCGCGCGCGAAGCGCCTGCGATGGTTCTAGCTGCAGAAAATGACATCCTCCTCGTTCCTCCTCTCTGTTGGGGTGGTTTGCGGGGGCTTGCGCGGGACGGCAGGGTTCGTGGTCGCGGGGGGGGGGCGCGGAGAGGGCGCGGCGCAGCTGCGCCGAGCGCCGCGGGCGGTGGCCCCGCTGGGAGGTGGCGCATCCGCCGCCTTGGAGGAGAGGGGGTCCCAAGAGCGATTCGAGGGGCGAGGCGGCGTTCGATGTCAGGGGTTTTCGGGCGCTTTCGCGGGTTATCCGCGGGTTTCCGGCCTCGGGGTGCATTCCAGCAGCTGCGCCTCGTCCAGAAATGTCTGGGGGTGCCCAGATCTACCCAGAATGGCCGCCGGAGGCCCGAACTATGGCTCGAAAGCCAGGGAGCAAAAGGTCAGGGGCAACGTCAGGGGGCGGACGGGCTCAGGGGGGGAAACATCGACCCCGAATCGCTCATGGATCGCCGATAGGGGCCCGATAGCCCAACCCGCCCCGGAGCTTGCGGCTCCACCATCCTGGGCCTATCGACGATCTGTCAGCGATGTATCGCCGATTCCAGGACGATGTCCTCCCCCCTCTCAGCCAGTCCCCCCTGACGCTCCCCTCAAGATGGGTTCCGCGCTTTTGCCGCCGTCTTCAGCCCATCCATGGCCCCTCTGGGTCCCTGGGGCCGTCAGACAGAAGGCGGCTCGGTGGAGACGGGTGGCCCCCCTCCCTCCTCCTGCCACCTCCCTTCTCCTCCTTTCTCCCTCCTCGCCCTCGTCCTCCGCACCATCTCCTCGCCGTTGTCCTCCTTGTTCCCCCACGCCGTCGTCGTGGTCGTCCTCCTGGCCTCACTGCCGTCGCCGCCGCCGTCGCAGCCGCCGCCGCTGCCGTCGCCGTCGGCGCATCGCCAGGCCGTGGGGTCCAGGGGCTGCGAGCGCCTCTCGAGGGATCACCGGCCCACGGATCAGGCGGGCCGGCGCGCGACTCATCCTCCTCCTCCTCCTCCTCCTCTCCTCCCTCCTCCTCCTCCTCCTCCCCCCCTCTCCTCCTCTCTCCCTCTCCCCTCCTCCTCCTTCTCCGCCTCCTCCTCCTCCTCGTCCTCCTCCTCCCTCCTCCTCCTCCGTCCTCCCTCCTCCTCCTCCTCCTCCTCCCCTCCTCCTCCTCCCTCCTCCTCCTCCCTCCTCCCTCCCTCCTCCCTCCTCCTCCTCCCTCCTCCCTCCTCCCTCCTCCCTCCTCCCTCCTCCCTCCTCCTCCCTCCCTCTCCTCCTCCACCTCCTCCTCCTCCTCCTCCTCCTCCTCCGCTCTCGCCGTCATTGCCTGGGTCCTGGGCGGAGGGTGCGTGGTCGTCTGGAGGCGGGCGAGGGGCAATCGATCCAGAGATCCGACGCTCCGAAAAAATTGGAGCGGCGGGTTTTTGGCCGTTTTCGGCCTCTGGGGGCCCTCGCCTGACCTCGGGACCCTCAAAAAACGACTCAGGACGAAAAGCCAGCCATAGGGAAGTGGTCTGGACCTCTGGGGCCTCCGCAACGAAAAAAATGGAGCGGCCAGATGTTTGGGGAGGAGGCGAGGGGCAATCGAGGATCTCGGGGGGCATCCAGAGGCTCGAGGGGTCAAGGGGTCGGGGAGGGGAGGGGCCACTGACGGGTCGGGGGGGGGGCTCGGGGAGTCGAGGGGTCGTCTGGAGGCGGGCGAGGGCAATCAATAGGCTCTAGGGGTCGAGGGGTCGAGGCTCTCGAGGTTTTCGAGGCTCCAGCATCGGGTCGAACGCAAGGGGGAGGTTTTGGCCCGCTCTCGGCCCACTGGGGACCCTCACCGGGGGCCCCCGGGAGTGTCTCAGCGCGGCTCGGGATGGAAGCCGGTCTGGGTCGAACGAAATGGGGGGATCGGGAAAGGGGGGCGGGGAGGGGGTACGAAATCTGCTGCATGCAGCGGATTTCGGCCCCGCCGCCCGGCGCCGTCGGCGTGTCGGAAGACTTCCAGGTCCGGGCCTCGGCGGCCAGGGATCACGCAAACAATGCAACACATGGGACCGGGGACTCACTCATGCCTGCACACCGGCAGCAGGTCATGCGGCAATACGTTTGCAATCATACGATGCGAGTCGTGGCAAAGATGCTCCACACAAGGAGGACCTGGAGCCCACATGTTCACTTGCAGGGTTGAACGAAGGAAGCAGCGATCGGGAGGGCCCGCTCTTTGCGACTCGTTCTATACAGGCTCGTACGTTGATGCCTGTTCCTGCTCATATAGTGGATTTCAGCTTGCACGGCTTTGAGGGTTACGTCTCATGGGCATCTTACACACGTAATGTACTTGCAGCAAGTCGTAAATAAAGTGGATCGGTTCGCTGCACTGCCAGCCATGCCCGCAGCAAATCAACGGCCAAGCACACTTGAACGAAGCATGCTCGGTGACTTACAGCCTACAGCATAATGCAACTCTGGCTTTGTTGTTGAAGCTCTGAACAGCTTCGGTGCGCATGCGAGAAGAGCAGGCTGCCGAAGCCGATCCTGCATTTGTAGCCCCGGATTTAAATGGGCGGCGCTATGGCTCGTGGGTGGTTCTGTCTGGCTATAGCTTTCTGCTGACCTCGTTGGCAACATACTTCCATGCGTCCTAGCGCGACCCGACCAAGGACATACAAATGAGAGGGCACCAGGCGGGTCCCAAGAAGCCACATGAGTCTTCCCGATGGGCCACGAGAGGCCATTAGAGGCTACCATGAGGGCCCCCAAGCGCCCCAGGAGATCCCAAGAGCTCGACGCGGGCCAAAAAGACCTCACACGCCTCCAAGATGTCGTCCCCAGAGGGGCCCTCTTTGGGGGTCGGGGTCCCATCGAGTTCATTCATCTTGGTGAAGGGCGCGGTGTAAGGGAGGCAGGAGGAGGGAGGTGCCCGGGAGGGAGGAGCGAGGAGGGGGGATGGCGGCGGCAGCGGTGAGAAGTGATGAGGGAGGAGGCCGCAGGGAGGAGGAAGGAGGCGGACGGCAGGAGCGTGGAGAAGGAGGGGCGAGTGTGGAAGAGCGAGGAGAGAAGACGGGGGGGGGACCGTGAGGTGGCAGGGAGGAGAGGTGAGGCGGGCTGGGTCGGGCCATGTCTCTTCTCTGTCTTTCTTCCCCGTCTCTCTCCCTCCTTCTTTCTCTCCCTCTCTCTCTCTTTCCGTTCGCCTTGAGCAGTGCGCAGTTGCAGTAGCAGCAGTAGCTCCAGTTCGGCGCTTCGGATTTTGCTGTGGGTAAGAAAGAGTCCCGAGAGCAGCGAGGTGGGAGAAGGGAGGGTGGAGGATGGAGCAAGGGGGGAGGAGCGAAGCAGGAAGGGGGAGCTGGGATTCCGCATAATTGGATGTTGTAGATGGTGGCCTTCACCCCTCCTGCCACCGTGCCTTGGCTGTAGGTCAGACAGAGGCCTCTCGGATGCCTGTGGGGATCTCTTGGGAGGCCTCTCGGAAGCCTCTTGGAGGAATCCTGTTCTGATGTCTTGAAGGCCTCTTGGGGGCCTCTCCTGGGCCTCTTAGAGCCTGGTTTGGGCCTCTCCGGGGCCTCCCGAAGCTTCGGGGCTTCTTGGGGTGCTGCTGCCGGTCTCCGAGGTCGCCTGGGAGCGGAGGGCTCGAAATGTCGGTTCGTACCCCCACTGGGGGCCTCTCTCGGGTCGGCTTGGGGCGATTTTTCGGGCCTCTTGGGCCGTCGTATTGGGGAAACGTAATGAAGACTCGAAGATGCTGGAGCTCGGGTTTGCGGACGCTTTTGGACGAGCGCGTCCTGGATTTGGACGGTCCAGTTTTCGTGGGATGTTTGCAGCGGGAGCTCGCGTTAGATTTCAGACTGGGTCTAGCCATTTTCATGATGGCCTCGTTAGGCCAACCCGAGTCCCCCGAATCCAAGTCTTACGTCCCCCCGATCTTGGAGAGTCGAGAGGTCGAAAAGGTGAGAACGCTAGAATATTTCAAAAGCAGCCGAGGGCCCTCTTGGGGGGCCTCTTGTAGCTCTCTTGGGTCATTTTGAGCCGTCTGGAGGTCATCTGGGGCGTTCTGGAGCGACTCAGAGTCCTCTTGGACCGACTTGGGGGGGTCCATGGGGGCCCTCTTGGCCCGTCTTGGGGCCTCTCGTGGCCCCGGCAGAGTCCTGCGGCTGGGAGCGGCCGGAACCTGGGGCTGTGGGTCCCTCAGGGCAGAGGGCAAGAAGGCCCGAGGGACTTGAGGACACTCCGCTTAGTGCCTCGCGTCCAGATTTCCGTCTCCCTATTCTTTATTCAGCTGCTGAACGCCTCCCTCCCTTACCTCTGCGAGAACGCTTATCGTAGATCCCAGATGCTGATCCTTTCCAGGCGGAGTGCGCTAGATTTAGTGGGGGAGAATTCTTGGATAGGGTATGCTGCAAGTCCGTGTGTTGTCACGTTGTGTTTCGATTTGTCATGTCCCAACGGCAAAGAGAAGGTTGAGTTTCAGGAGGGGGGGAAGGAGGAGGGCCAAGGATGACAAGGAGTTGGAGGAATGTGCGGAAACGGAAGAGGAAAAACAGGACGGAGGAGAAGGAGGAGGAGGAGGAGGAGGAGGAGGACGAGGAGGAGGAAGAGGGGAAGAAGCGAACGAGGAGGGGAGAGGAGGAGGAAAAGGACAACGAAAAAGTGGGAGGTGGTGGCGTTGCGACTGGAATATTTTGCTTGTGCACCAACCCTCCACAGGTTCGCGTTCCGGAGCTTTAGATTCCAGCGTATTCCCCCCTCTGTTTCCTTCTATTTCCGTTTGACTTCATGTTCAGAGGCAAGGATGTGTTAGCAATATCCCGAGATGTGTGTGTGTGTGCTCCCTATGTTCCTCTTTGTTTGCAATTGCTTGTTTTCCCTGATGTTTTCCTTTGTTCCCTTCTGTTTCCCTTGCTCCCCACTGTTTTCCGCTGTTTCCATGTTTCCTGATATGTCCGAGGTTTTTTATTCCCCTCTTGGCTCCCCTTTGGCGAGGTAGAATAAGGCACCTCTGGATGCTAACTCGTGTGTTCCCTCTGTTTCCTTTGTTCCCCTATCCTTTCATTCATTTCAAAGTTGTGTCCTTCGTTTTCTCATGTTTCTCAGAGTTTCCCCCCATGTTTCTTCCGGTTTCCCCTTATTGTTTCCATCTGCCTCTACCCGTTTCCCTTTGCTTCCCTTTAGAGATATGGAATGAATAACCTCTGGAGGTTAGTGCTCCAAACTCTGGATTCTATGGTTTTTCGAGGTGATGGGAGGAGAATGAGTGCAGAAGAGGGTGAGGGTGGCATGCGTCCGCTTCATCTTCCAAGACTCGAGTACAGTTTTTTTTGACGTGGGCCGCACGGGCTCTGGACCGATTCCATGTACCGTTTTCCATCCGAGGCAGTTTTTTGACAGCCTGGGGGCCCAACACTTCTCCAGATGCCCAGAACAATGGAAACTGGCCGTCCCAATTTTTCGTGACGGAGATTTGAGTGCATCTCCTCTTGCCCTTCCACAAAGTCGATCCCGGGGAGCTCGTCCTTGGTGCCTTCGGTAAGATTTCCGATGCGAACCCAGCCGTGGCCACAAGGGCATCCATAGATGCTCAGAAAGGCCCACCACCAAGATAGAAAGCATTCGATATTTTCTTCTTATCATTGTTATCAGTTGTCTTATTGTTATTATCCTCCTCCTTCATTATTGTATGTATGATTATTATCATGCTTCTTCGTTTTCTTCTTCTCCTATTCCTCCTCTTCCTCCTTCTCCTGTTCCCCCCCGAGGCCGAGGTGAAGCGAATCGAAGCGGACGGCGGCTTCGTGAGCCGTGGCCGCGTCGGAGGGTCCGCGAGCCTCCTGCCTTGCCTCTCCTTGCCCCTCTGCGCGGCCGCGCGACCTCTCTTCTCCTAAGCTTTCCCCCGAGATCCTGGCGTCTCAAACTTTTCTCGGCGGCAAGCGAGTGAGAGAAGGAGAAGGCCTTTTCAGAAGGCGGCGGGACTTCTCAGAAGCCCTCGCGCCTTCCGATACGTTTTCTGTCTTCGGGGAAGGTTTAGAAAACTTCTCAGAAGACCGGGGGACTTCCGAACTTTCTGAGAAGGTCCGCCCCTTCTCACTTCCCCCCCTCGCTCGCCGCCGACTTTCCAGCCGGGCATGTCACCTGGTTCTTGGGCTCGGGGGATGGGCTCGATCGGGCGCCCAGATCGGTCGGGCTCGTTCCTCTGTCGAGAACTGGCGCAGAAAGAGATGGTATCTGGGGCTTCGGTCGATTTTGTCGCTGCGTCGGATCTCAGGGTGCGCGGAGCTTGTCGAGGGCCTGCTTGGGGCCTGCTAAGTCCCGGCGCCCTCGTGGCCACGGCTGGATCCGACTTGAAGTTTTGGCCAGAGCGGGGGCGGTCACGGGGTGGTGGTTGGTGGTGATCAAGGGGGGCCACGCCAAATGCCGAGATTTCGTTTTCCCCTCTTCTCAATTCAGTGCGTCTTCTGGTGCCTGCCTTGTCTGGAGAGCGAAGCACAATCTGTATATATATATATATATATATATATGTAAATGTATATGTATGTATACACAAATATGCATATATGTATATGTATAGATATACACACAAATATAAAAGAAACTCATCCGGGGCGACAGCGGGCGTTACCAGAGGAAGGGGGGTGGGGAGGGTGGGTGAGAACAGTCATTCTATCTGGCTTGAGTGTTTCTGCGATAGCAGCAAATTGTATACAACCAAACACATTCGCACTTAAGCACACGCTCAGACGAGCACGCGCATGCATCCATAGATGTATATGTGTATGTGCATCGTTCTCTAATGGCCTTCGGCCCATCCCGCCACCGGGCTTGGTTGGACCCCTTTTGGGACCGTCTTGGGGCTCTCTTGGGCCGTTTTGCGCGCCTCTTGGGCTGTCTTGGGGCTCTCTTGGGCCGTTTGGGGGACCTCTCGGAGGCTTCTTGGGCCGTCTTGGGGCGGCCTTGGTGGCTTCTAGGGCCGTCTGACAGCGTAGGGGAGCCGAAAAGGCGAGCCTTGAAAACCAAAGGAACATTAATGATTTGGGCCTCTTGGGGCCGTCTTGGGGGGCCTCTTGGGGGCTTCTTTGGGCGTCTTGGAGGCATCTTGGGCCGTCTGGGGGCCATCTTGAGCGTCTTGGGGCGATCGTTCGGCGACTCGGGGCCTCCTTGTGCCGTCTTGGGGGCTTCTTGGGGCCCTCTTGGCCCGTCTTGGGGCCCTCGTGGGTCCGAACAAGTCACGCGACAATATGCTCCAAGGCCCAAGGGAACCGCGCCAAGCCCTGGGGGAATTGTGAATTTGGGCTCCAGGCCTTTATTCCTCAGGAGTGACGCCTAAGGCTCAGAGGGATAGCTAATGGAAGGGCCTGAGGACACGCCCATTCCGTGCCCAGAGGCACGGCGGCGGGTATATAAACGTTGACGGTAGATGTTTGGGCAAGGAGGGTTGCGGGTCGATCGTTCGTCGGCCGTCTTCGGATGCATGGCAGCTGTTTCGGAATCGAGACGTTTGCGGCCCTCCAGGAGGGCATGTCTGGCCACCCTCCCGCGGGCTATCGGGGGAAGTGGCCTCCACCGCCGGCCGCTGCCTGGCGGCCTGCGCCCCCGCCGCCTGGCGCCCCCGCGGCGGGTGAGGCGGTTGCGGGCGTTGCGGCCCCCCTTGCGAGCTCGCGGGAGGGCGGCCTGGACGGCGCGGGCTGGCGCGTCGACCCCTCGGCGGCGCAGGCGGCCGCGGGCCAGCTGGACGGTGCGCCCGCGGCGACCGCGGGGGGCGGGCCCCCGCGTGACGGGCCTGGGGCCGCCCCCTGGGTCCCCGCCTGGCGCCGCTGCAGCTGGTGCCTGGGCCGCCTGGGGCCCCACGAGAGCCTCGCCCTCGCGACTGGGGGGCTGCCCGCTGAGAACTGCGAGCTCTGCTACTTGCTGACGCTCGCGACCCACCACGCCTTCAGGGCGCGGCTCACCCCAGGAGAGCGGGCCGCCGTGACGGGCCGCGCGCGCGAGCTCACGGCGCTCGTGGCCGCGCTGGCGTGGCTCGCCGACAGTCAACGTGGCCCCGGAGGCCAAGCCGAAGGCCAAGGCTACAGCCAAGGCTACGGCCAAGAGTTCCCTGGCTCCCTCCGCCGCTATGTTCGGAGGTTTCTTGATCTGAAGTCCTGCGAGCTTTCGGCCACCAAGAGCGGTTGGCTTCGGCGTGATGTGTCGCCGTTATCGTACCCTGTTCTGGGCGTCGACGAGGTCATCCTCAGCGACGAGAGCATCGGCGACAGGGGCTGGGAGGGGCCCCTCAGCAGGCTAGAGGTGGCGATCCTCGGGTTGCACTGGGGGGCTGGCTACCGCAGCCTGAAGTTTGCCTGGTGCTGCCTAGGTCGAGCCAGCGCGGCGCAGGCGGCTGCCATCTGGGCCCTGGCGCGGATAATCTACCGGGCCATGCTGTCCGAGGTGGGGCCGCCGCCCGAGGTTCACTGGTCCGAGCGCCTGAAGGACAGGGGCATCGCCTACGACGGGTCGGAGGTTTCGATGCCGCTGAGGCTGATGCTCGAGCGGGTGCTGGACGGACTGCCGCCGCCTGGGTCCTGCGCTTCCGCTTCTTCTGCTAGCGGAGCGGCGAGTGGCGGCCACCTCGGCGCGTATCTGGTCTTCGACGGAGGAGTGGCGCCGCACCGTGGCTGCGCTCCCATCGAGCAGTCCGAGATCGCGGAGCGGGCCGGTCGGCCTCCTGAACGAGGCCTTCGGCGTTGTCGAGCCGCGCGACCCGCCGGCGCGCTGCCGGGGCGGCGTGGACACCCGCCCCTAGGCTGATCACGAACCTGATCCCGTCCAACGCCTGCTGGGCCGTGAGCCAGGGCGACGCCCCCGGGCCCCGAGCAGCCGAGGGCGAGCCAGCTGGGCGGTCTGGTCCCGGCCGAGACGGAGGACCTCCTGTGGAGCGGCGCCGACCAGAAGGCCTTCTTCTACGTCTTCCGCGCTCCTGCTCCGTGGTGGCCGCGCGCGGCGAGTGCGGGGTGCCCCCGCCGACCTGGTGGGCGGCCAGCCGGGTGCGTCCACCCGCGTCTGCCTGAAGGTGATCGGCATGGGGTGGGTCAGCGCGGCAGGGGTCGCGACTCACCTGCGCCGCGACATGCTGAGCCGCGGCCGCGAGGTGCCGCGAGGCCTGCGGCCCAGCGACGAGATCACCCGCCGTCGTCGCCTGCCGCTCGGAGTGGCGCCGCCCTGCCCTGCGGCCTGGTTGGCCCACGTCAACAACCTTCAGATCGCCGAGGTCGTCGGCAAGAACGAGGCGGTCGAGCTGAAGGGGGCCGTGCCGTCGCTGCTGACAAGCCCGTGCTTGCAACGAGCACGTTGGCCCCCTTGGCCCCCCGGGCATGGGCGTCCGCTGGGTCGTGCGCGCCGCTGCCCTCGGCGAGCTCGTGGGCGGAGTGGGCGGCCTCCGTCGCCCCTTCAGGGCTACTTGGCGGAGATGGCCAGCCTCGCGTTCTGGGTGCTGGGCAGGCGTCGTGCGAGCAGGAGGCCCATGCAGATCCTGCTCGGCCGCTGGGTGCGGGCCCACTGCTTCCGCTGCCCGCCCGCGTCGAGCTCTGCTCGCGCGTGGCGCTGGCTCGCGGGCGCGCGGGCTGGGGGCCGCGTCGGCCTGGGCGTTGCAGAGGCCTTGCTCCTCTCCTCAGCGCTCTCCGCCCTGCCCGTGGCGAGCCTCAGGCTGAAGGCTGAAGGCTGAAGGCTCTCCGCGCGGGCCGCGGGTCGCCGCTCTGCGCCGGCGGCCCTGCCGCCCCGCCCGCCTTGGGGAGGCGGCCCCCGTCGCCCTCATCGATGGGATTGGCGGGGGGCGGCGCGCCTTGGAGATCCCAGGCCTCGCCCCGGCGATCCACCTCGCGTTCGAGATTTGCGCCGCCGCCGTCGTCCGCGCGGCGAGGCGCGCCTGCCCGAGCACAGCCCACCTCGGCGATGTGAGCGCCGCCGACCCGCGCGACCTCGCCAAGCGCCCGAGGGGGCGGGTCCGCATCTCGCGGGTCTTGGTCATGGGCGGCCTCCAATGCCAAGCGCGCGCAGCGCTCGACGTCGACCGCCAGGGCCTGGCAGACCCTCGCGCTGGCCTCGTGCAGCGCCCGAGGCGCGTCGCCGATGGCCTCGCGGGAAGCTCCCCGAGGCTCGCGTCGACTTCCTGGCCGAGAATGTTGCGCCGACGAGGGGGAGTGACGTGATGATCCTCATTGGGTATTTTTAGAGGGCCCCCATTTGATCGAGTCTGGTGACATTGGTTGGGTCAAGCGCCCCATGCTCAGCTGGTGCTCGTGGGACTTGCTGCCGAGCCATGAGTCGACCTCCGAGGTTGTGATGTCGTAGCCGGCGAAGGGTGTTCGGCGGGCATGGCGGGCTCGGCTCCATTGCCAACATCCGCCTCTAGAGGAGTGGCTGCTAGCTGGCGCTCGCTGTCCTGGGCCCGAAGGAGGCGAGCCACTACCCACTTTTGTCGGGTGGGCTCCGAGGAACAGCCGAGGCCGCGGCCCGTGGGCATCGCGGAGCGCAGAAGGGGTGAGTTTCAGCGCTGGGCCGACGCGGGCGACGCGGCGCCGCCTTGCCAGTTCCGGGACAATTGGTGTTTGCACCAGCACGGCAAGATTGCGCCGCTCGCCGCCTCGGTGCGCGAGCAGCTCATGGGCTTCGCCGAGGGCCGCGCCGCCCCGTGCATGCGGAGCGGTGCCATCAACGAGGAGGGCCCCGACATGTGCGAGGCCCTGCGCAGGTCCTTGGTCAGGAAGGAACTCCTTCCACGGCGAGGTGGTGGCCTGGCTCGTGAGCCACTGGGCGGTGCGGAGCTGCGCGGGAGCGCCCGCGATTGGGTTGGCGGGCGCCGCCCGTGGGCGAGGGCCCTCACCTCGCTGCGATGCGGGCAGGGGGCCCTTCAGCGCTGCCACCTCGACGAGCTGGGCCAGCCTGGCGGCCCCGCGCGCGTCAGTCGTGGACGGGCTCGGCCCGGGGCAGCCCCTTCCACGTGGCCAAGGGGCGCGCCCGCGAGGCGGCCGTGGCGCAGTGCGCGTCCTGGCTCCGCTCGCAGCCCCGCCTGCGCGAGGGCTTGGGCGAGCTCGCGGGCCGGCGGCTGCCGTGCCGTTGCAGGCCTGACGAGGCCTGTCATGCGGACGTCCTCCTCGCAGAGTTGGCGAGGTGATGGCGCGTCTCGCCGCCTGGTCACGGGGCTGGCGACGGCATGGCACCTCAACGGGGCCAACCTCAGGACTGACGGGGGCCCCGAAGCGCCGGGCAAAGTTCACCCCTAGCAGGGGATTGATGCAGGCGCGTGGGAGCGGCGTAAGGCACGGCGAGTAGTCTGGGATAATGCACAGCACATCAACGTCTTAGAGTGCCAGGGCGCTCTGATGATGATCCAATGGCGGGCCCGATCTGTTGCGCGCCACGAGTCCGTGTTTCTGCGTCTCCTCGACTCCATGGTCAACGTCGGTGCACTTTCCAAGCGCCGTTCCAGTAGCAGGCAGCTCAACAAGGTGGCGCGCAGTTTCTATGCTTGGGAGCTAGCTATGGGTGCGCGGGCTGTCTTTGGTTTCGCGAACTCGTCCCGCAACCCTGCCCATGCCCCGTCGCGCTTAAAAAGGTGGTTGAGCGCGCAGGGCCTTCAGACTGCCGCGCCGCCAGAGCCGGCCCAGGACAGTTGGGTGATGCTAGAATTGGCGCCAAGACCTTAGCGCGATATCTCGCAGCAGCTCGCCAGTTTGTTGGCTACGCCGCCGCTGCCCGCGCGCCTCTGCCTGTCGATTGGGGCGCAATGGGCCTTACCCTTCAAGAGTATCTTGAATTTCTCTGGGCGCATGGCGCCGCGAAGGGTCGGGCGAGCGACGCGCCCAGTGGCATTCAGCACCTTCTCAAGACGAGGAGGCAAATGCCCGGCGCCTGGCGCCTCCTTGGTGTCTGGGGGCGCCTCGAAGTCCCTGGCCGAGCGCCGCTCATGCCGCCGCTCGTGTGTGCTGCGCCTGCAGGTGGGCCCTTGCTGCAGGAGAGCTGGCCTTCGCGTCAGTCGTGTTGGCCGCCTTCCACCTGTGCCTGCGAACTGGAGAGGCCCTCGACTTCAGTGGGGCCCCCATCCCCTTGCGCCCGGACGGGCGCGGCGTCGTCGCCTCCCCTGGACAAAGACATCGTGGCAAAATGGTGCCCGTGAGAAGTCGCTCTAGATGGCCCATATGTAGGAGCCCTTGTCCATTGTCAGCTCAGTGAAACTGTCTCAGCTCACCAGTGGCCCCTGTCGACTCGTGCGCGTCATCAGCTGTTCTGCGAAGCCCTGAGCGAGATCGGTTGCAGTCACCTGAGGCTCTCGCCTTATAGTTTACGACGGGGCGGGGCCACTCATGAGTTCTTGTCCTCGGGTGACCTCTCTAAAGTTCGAGCGGCCGATGATCATCCCATCGTGCGTCGCAGATATATGTGTATATATAATATACATTTGTGTGTATATATATATATTTACAAATGTATGTAACAATATTTCTACATACAAATACACATAAACGGGGGGCTGGGTCCGGGGGCCAGGGCCGGGACCGCGACGACAAACGTGGGGCCCGGCGCGCTGGGGGCTCTGCTGGAGCGCCGGGGGCCGTCGAAGATCGCCCGAAGATGGTTTCGGGGCGCTCGAAAACGCGCTCCGATGGCTCTGGATGCCTTTCAAGATGATTCCCACGACGCCAAGAAGGCCCCCGGAGGCCCCGACGACGCCCCAAGAGGCACCCCGAGAGAACCCAATTAGCAAAAATTTTCGGTTTTCTATTGGGAAGCTGGTGCTTTTGGCGTGTTTGTTTTTTGGGCTCCCACTGCGTCCAAGACAGCCCAAGAGGCGCCCGGGACGGTTCAGGATGTCCCGAAGAGGGCTCCAAGAGGGCCCGCGAGGGGGCCAAACGGGCCCACGAGACGCCTAAACCGCCCAAAAACGCCCCAAAGCGGCGCCCAAGACTGGGACGAGGAATCGAAAATCCGAGCCATTTGGCCCAAGAGGCCCCCAGGAGACCCCAAGAGGCCCCAAGAAGTGCCCGAGAAACCCCAAAAGGCCCCCAAGAGGCCCGCAAAAACATAAAAAATATCCCGGCAAAGCAACCTAACAGCCATGTGTAGGAGCATCTCTGGGTCGAACAGCATCTCGACGAAAAGGCAGCGACAAAAAAGGTGACGTCGACGACGGCGGTGGCGGCGGCGACGGCGGCGGCGGCGGCGGCGCCCCCCCCGCCGCCATCCGCAGAGGTGGCTCGTTCGTGTTCTTCGTGGCCCGCCATACCCGGGCCACATTTTTTGCTTGTTGATAGCAGTGTCTCGTTTCCAGATATGCTTCCAGCATGCGTAGAAGCATATATATGGAAAATCGAGCCATTTGGCCCAAGAGGCCCCCAGGAGACCCCAAGAGGCCCCAAGAAGTGCCCGAGAAACCCCAAAAGGCCCCCAAGAGGCCCGCAAAAACATAAAAAACAACTCCGAGCACGCCCCAGGGGGCACCCCGAGAGAGCCCCAATAAGCAAACATCGTTGATTTCCCAAGGGGAAACATGTGTTTTTGGCGTGTTCGCCTTTTGGGCTTCCACTGCGTCCAAGACGGTCCAAGAGGCGCCCATAGCGGTCGAGGATGCATGCATGTATGTACGAATGTATGGATGTATGTATGTATATGTATACGCATGTATATATATATATATATATATATATATATATATGTGTGTGTGTGTGTGTGTGTGTGTGTGTTTGTCTGTCTGCAGGTTTGCGTGTAGGTATGTCGGTGTGTATGTGTGTAAGTATGTCTGTATACTTGTATGCGTGCATGTATGTATATCTGTATGTAGCGTCGCCATCTGCCCAATGCCTGGTGGGCCGCGGCGCCACGCGCCCGCGGTTCTTCGCGGGTCGGGCCACGCGATGCTGTCGCCCCCTGGCGCCTGCTCGGGGCCCATGGTGCGCTGGGGCGGGCGCCCTCTGCGGAGGGCCGCGCGTGCTGCGGCGCTGGGGGGCTGTGTTGCAAGATTGACGGTGGCCCGAAGGATGCGACTGGTCTCCTACAGTCCGCTGTCCCTGCGCAGGAAGCCGCGGGCGGAGGAGATCAGCACCGCCCTTGGCGCGCGCGACGTGGTGGCGCTGCAGGGCGCGCAGCTCCGCTGGCGTGGGGGCCCTGACGCTTCGAGGCAGTCGCTGCCGTTGCATGGCGCTCTGCATTGGGGATGGGGCCGCGGTGGGTGCACCAGCAAAGCGTGCGGGGTCTCCATTCTTCAAGATGGGCTTCAAGGTGCCGGGGTTGTTGACGCCCCCCCCCCGCGTTGCGGGGTCGTGGCGGGGGCGCCCGCCTTAACCGGGCGCGCGCTGGGCGCCCCGGTGCCGGCTCTCTATTTCCCTGTTCGGGGGGCGGCGGCGCGTCGGCAGGCGGCGGAGGCGCTCTTTGCCTGGGCGTAGCGGTGCCTCGTGGAGTGCCCGACGCGGTGCGCGCCGTTGCTGTGCGCCGATCTCAACGGCGGCTTAGGACTGGTGAGGTATGAGGCGGGGGCTTTCTCCCCGTGGTCGTCATCGGCCAGGTCGAGCCAGCGCTGAAGCGGGGGAGCGGGGCGGCCTGGAGGCGGCTGTGCGAGGGCTGGGACCTGGCCTCGGTCAACACGTTCTACGAGGCCTACCACTGGAGCCAGGTCCCGCCCTGACGTGGTGGCTCTGCCCCACGCGCTCCTCGAGTGCGTCGACGGGTGCCGCCCGCTCTACGCCGTGGGGGGTCGCCTGCAGGCTGTCCGAGCGCGTGGAGGCCTGGTGGCCGTCGGGTCCGCCAGCGGCCGGCGCCTGCTCGGCGCGAGGGCGCGGCGCGGCGGCGGTGGTACCGCTGCCCGTGCCTCTGGCCAAAACCCAGCCGCAGCGCCGCGCGGCGTCGCGCCGCGACGACCTCGAGGAGGCGGTGTCGTCGATGGCGAGGCTGGTGCTGCCCCGCGATCTGCAGATTCGAGAGCTGGAGGCCGCGTCGTTCCTGTGCTTCAAGGTCACCAGCTCGGCGGAGTTCGTCGGGGCGACCAAGGGCGCGGGAGGAGCTACAGCGACAGGTGCCGTGGCAGGGCGCCTGCGGTCCACGGGATGGGGCCGCCCCCCCCCTTCCTGGT